CCCTTGGTTTTCCTTTTTAATACAGATACATGTGCTTTCTTATTAGAGCATAGATAGTACAGCTTGATGGCTGAACACAACACAAACTCAGTGACGTTAAAGCCTGGGAGGCTGGAAGGCTGGAATGGGACTCACTGAACTAAAATCAAGTATGACCCAGAAAGGCTGTACTCCTCAGTGTCCAGGAGGGGCTGCCCCTGCCCTGCCTTCCTAGCTGCTGCCTTCTGTAGCTTGACACAACAAGCACTGGCTGATGAAGTCGCCCTCCCATTCCCCAGCTTTAGTAAAAGACTTTTTTTTCCTTTTTGAGGTAAGGTCTCACTGTGTGGTTATGGCTAGCTTGGAATTCAATATATAGACCAGGCTGGCCGTGAACTCCCAGAGATCCTCCTGCCTCTGCCTCCAGAGGATTGAAGCCAAGCACAACCATCCGAAAAATTTAAAAATTTAAAAATTGCATGTATGTGCAAATGTGTGCACATACGTGTGTACATGTGTACACGTATGGTATGTACATGTGTGTGTACATGTGTATATGTACACGTGTGCATGTGATGGTACAAGTCTAGAAGTGAGAGGATAACTTTAGGAGTTCCTTCTCTTCTGCCTCCATGTGGGTCTTGGGAATCAAATTCAGGCTTGGTGCCAAGTGCCTTACCCACTGAGCCATCTTGCTGAACCCTGAAAAGACATTTATAGCAGATTAAAAAATAGAAGTTAATAGAGGGGCCATCAGGAAGAAGGTAAGATGTTCTACACCCTGGGAGCATAGTGTAGGCATCTCGGAAAGAGAATTGACCCTTGTACACTGCAGAAAAAGGTAAGGCGGGCTGCCCCGAGGGTGGTAGCTGCCCGGAGGACCCTGTGGATGGGATTTAAGAAGGTTTTTATGAATATCATGAGTTGGGTGGCATATTCATGGCAGTAAACTCACCCTTTTTCCTGTGTAAGCTGGTGTGCCAGGTTCTGTTCTCTTGGAAATACTTTGGGACCTGGGGTGAATGTTTCTGGAGTATAGGTCATTAAGGGTACCAACTGACTTCCTCTTTGCAGGGTGGCCAAATAGAAACTTTTAGGGGTAATCCCATGATTTATAAGTCCATAAGGTTCAACTCTAATTTTTTAGAGAAGGTTGTGGAGAGCTGCTTGTCAGGCTGTTTTGTTGTTGAGTTCTCAGTGAAAAACATGTTTTCACCCTCGCCTTCACCTAAAGACAGGGATAGGCAGGATTTCTTCCAGGTTAGTTCCCCTTTGTTTGTGTGAGGATCACACAGTCAGGTGGTCAAGGTAAACAAGTTTGACTCGATGAACCCCTTCATTGTGTAGAGGTGCTTTGCTCCAACTGTAAAAAGGAATTGTGGAATAAACCAGGTGACAGCTTCTACTCACAGCCCTCTCGAACTGGTCTCATGTAGTGTGTTATATTTTATTTCTTTGAGTCCTCACCCCCACTCAAGAACTGTTCATCTCTGCCGGTGGGCTCCGGCAGATGGTCCTAAGAGTTTGGACAGCAGGGAAAGTTTACCAAATGAGAATGATTACCATTTCTAGCTCATTTTATTTCACTTGTAGCCTGTGAGATCCTCCTCTCTAGTTCTCCATCAAATATGCAACATAATACATACAATATATACCATAAGCCCACCATCCCTTGAACATTTTTCTTACCCCTTACTCTACCTGACTGTTTGGGTACCCAGTACCCAATATCCATCCATACCACCACCCTCCCTTCTCAACTTCTAGTCAACACTAGTTTTGAACATTTGGGTCCACTTTTTAATTTTTTTTAACTTTTTCATGTGAGAAAGAACATTCTTTTTCTCTGTATCTGGATTATGTTGTAGCCCATTGGTCTCCAGTTCCCACCCACTCTGCTGCAGAGACGTGGTGTCGTTCTTTTTATGGATGAGTGCTGTTCTCTTGTGCACATACATATTTTCTTTCTCCATCTACCCATCAGTGGCTCTCTTGGTGATTCTATATCTTGGCTATTGTGAGCAGTGCTGTAGGGTACATGGGAGGGCAGGTGTCTCTACAATCTGCTGAAGGCGTGGCCTTTGGCCATGTGCCTAAAGGGGGACAGCTGGATCATGTGCTAGAGCTGGTGAGGTTGTCATGGGACCTCCATAAAGGTGGTACTCACAGGCCTGCAGGTGCGTTTTCCCATCAGCCTTGATCTCCTTGTGAGGGCTGCATCTCTCTCCTCAGCTTATATACACAACCGGAATTTTCTGGGAACATAGCCAGGGACTGATAAATGTTAATTGCCTCCATTTTAACTTGTCTTCTTTCCCATGATTACTCAATCACCACATGCTTTAATCTCTTCCATGTGTAGCTTCTCTTTTATATGGATCTTAAAACATTATTTTCCTTTATGTGATGACGGTTTTACCTGCATGTATCTGCATACCTGTTGGATCCCCTGGAACTGAACTGGGGTTATGGATGGCTATCGGTAGTTGAACCTGGGTTCTCTGCAAGAGTAACAAGTACTCTCAGACACTGCTCTCACCCTCTCTACAGCTTCTTTATATGGTTGGTATTGGCGCTGTCTGCCTGTAACAGTGGCTTAAAAAGTTATTTTGGTTTATAGTGTAATGGAGCTTCGTGCCAAGCCTGATGAGCTAAGATTGATACTTGGGACACACACGGTAGAAGGAGAGAACTAACTTCTTGCAAGTTGTCTTCTGCCCTCGAAACTGGGTGGATGGATGGATGGATGGATAGACAGATAGAAAGAATGCATGTTAATTGGGGAGGGCATTACAGTGTTGGAGCAGGGAGCACATAGCTATAAATTATGTAATTCCAAACCTTAGAAGGATCAAGAATGTATGGTTGTTGTGTGACACTATTTCTGGAAGACATGGCAAACATCTTACTCCAGATAGAAAACCAGTGACAGACCAAAGTAAGGATCCCACCAAAGTTCAACTTCGTGAAGCAAGAGTTTTATTGGGGTTACTTACACAAGTAGAAATACCTCAAAGGCAGCTGCATTGCCAAAGTCCACACCATCATGAGTGACAATTTACATCTGGAGCCTGGAGCATACTTTCTAACCTGCAGACAGCTGAAGAGGTTGTAGAGTATCCTATCCAGGTGGCTCAGTTAATGTGAGCCTTTTCCAGATGGGTCAGTTTTTCTGAGAGTGTCTCTTGATCATTCTTTACCACTTAGGTATGCTTGGGAGCTGCCTAGTGAATTTGGTCAGTTTCAGGAACTTCCTGAAGGCCTTGAGTTGTTAACTTCCTGAGATTAAGTAGCTTCCTAGTCAAATAGATCGTTTTACCTCCCCTAAGAACATCTTGTTGTTCCACCTCTCTTCAAAAATCCTCTTGTGTTTACCTCTCCTTTAGCATCCTATGTTTTAAGAAGCTGCCCTTTAATATGGAAGGTTTTAATCTCAGAGGATAAACTGCTGTGCAGTAATGCTCATTGTAACTACTCAGCTAGTTCAAGGGCAGCCTGGGCTACATGAGACCCTGGGTCAAAAAAACAAAAAACAAACAAACAAAAAAACAACAAGAAAAACAACAGCAAAAGCACTATTTGAGTCACCCAAATAACGATTTCAATTAAATATGATTCAACCTGATTTTAACTTCATAATCATTGTCATGTGTAGTAGAGAAAATGTGGTATAACAAAACTTCACAAGAACTGGAGAGATAGCTTCAGTGGGTATAAACACTTCCTGCTCTTCCATAGGATACAGGTTCTTCTCCCAGTACTCACTTGGTGGCTCATAACCATCGCCAGTTCCAGGAGATTCAGTGATTGCTTCTGGCCTCCTTAGGTACCAGGCACACTTACGGTACACATACATTCATGCCAGCCAAACACTTTTGAGGGGAAAGATTTCCCCAGTGGAAGTGCTGCTGCTCTGAGGGGAGAGGTTCCCCTGTGTAAGCGTTACAGCTCGAAGGGAAAGGTATCCTGGCAGTCAGTAGCCAAGGAAGACCAAACCTATGCAACAAACCTCACACTTGAGCCTCACTGGGAAAGACATGAGGGTGGCTGCCTCTGCTCAGGTGCGAAGTGTCAGGAAACTGAGTGGGACGCAGGCTTTCTATAAAGTTTCTTGGTGGTGGAATTGGAGTGAACCCAGAGACCGGTGGGTTTTCGAACCCAGAAGTGAGCTTTGGACCTTTTACTCTACAGACATAAAATGAAAATACTCTTTTAAAAAAAAAAATTAAGTTCAAAATCCAAAATTTAGAGCTTACTGACCTCAGCAGTTACCTAGAAAATTCTGAGATTAAAAAAATAAGGATTTACATTTAATTGTGTGTATGTTTCTATGGCGGGGAGAGGGGCTGTGTACATGTGAACACATTTACCCACAGAGGCCAGAGGTGTTAGATCCCCTGAATATGGAGCTACATGTGACATGGGTGCTGGGGCTTAAATTTAAGTCTTCTACGAGAACAGTGTATGTTAACTGCCAAGCCATTTCTTCACTCCCCCACCACCAACAAATCGGAGATTTTTAGTCAAGGATTTTATTAAACCTAAGAATTCAAGCACAAAAAAAAGATTGATAAGTAAAGCCTAATGAAACAAATTAAAAACATAGAAAAATGACAATTTAAGTCCAGCTCTACTAACTAGTACATCAAATGCAAGTGAGCTACACAGTTGAGCCTCAAGAGAGACATTGTCAGACCATGTATAAAAGCAGGACTCTACTACATCGTTTGACTAGAGATGCAGCCTAAGTGTTATGAACCCCACACAGCTTGACAGTCTCGCCCATGAAAGAAAAGCCTAGAGCATCCCGGGCTTGACTTTGGTGTCAGGCCATCAAAACTAAGAAAGTTCTTCTGTAACGAGCTGGACTCTACCTCATAATAGAAAAGAATCTGCAAACCTAATGACATGAGTTTGAGCCCCCAAACCCACATGGACTAAGGAGAAAACAGACTCCCACAGCTTGGCCTCTGACCTCTACACATGTCCTGTGGCACACATGTGTACGCACACACACAAACTCAAGAGATAAATGCAATTTTAATATTCCAAAATGTAGCTGGGAGTTGTGATGCATGCTTTTAATCCCAGCACTCTGGAGGCAGAGGCAGATCTCTGAGTTTAAGCCCAGCCTAGTGTACAGAAGGAATTTCAGGACATCCAGGGCTACAAAGAGAAAACCTGTCTTGAAAAAACAAACAAAATGTAAAATGTATTGTAAGAATTGCTATGGTTTAGATCTTGAATGTGTTGGGCTCAAAGTGAGCCCCCCAAATGGCTGACAGTACACTAAGATGATGGAGTAGGCCATTATTACGTAAACAGAAACCTAAACTTAGCATTCCTCAGGAATCTCATAAGGCAGGTTTCTGTTTGCCAGCAAAGCCACTACTTCCCTTATCTGTACTCCATAGTTACTGCCTTCAGCATGGGCATCTGTTTTCTGATTAATCTGAACAGCTGCAGCAGCTCAGGGACCCCACCCTACTGACCATCATTTAAAATCCAATTGCTCTTCCACCAAGCTGCTGTCCTTTACTCTCTGAGGCAGTCTGGAAGTTTGGTTCCCCAATAAATGTTCCTTTCTACCCATGGAGTGGTCTAGTTCAGTGGTTTCACTGTGTCCTCACTTGCAGAATGTCCCCACAGAAGCCAGTGTGTTGAAGGGTGTGTCCTCAGGCCATGGTACTTCTGGGAGATGATGTAGTGGAAGAAATTGAGGTCACTGGGGCCATGATATTGGTACCCCAGCCCGCACTGATGAGGTGTGTGCTCTGTGCTGCCTGTGATGAGCTGGGGCCCCATCCTGTGTTTACTGTTAAAGCCTTGCCTTTCTCTTAAAGGTGAAGGAAGCTTCCAGGATAGTTAGGAGGTGGCAGAGTTACACAGCTAACTGTGAGCAGGGCTTAGTGCTCTGTGTGTCTGTCTCCCAGACGCTTTCCTGAGGTTTTGCCTGAGAACCAGGTGACTTTCCTGAGTTCACAGAGGAGCGTACCTTGGTCTCATCCACAGGAGAGATAGCTGCACTCAGCCCATGACTTTCCCTTGCTGGGCTCTTTTTGCTGACAGGATACATCTGTTAACCACGAGATACATGCCTTAAAACAAAATCTCGCTGCCTTACAGTTCCAGGGATAAATGCCCAAGATCCAGTTAGTGGCAAGGCCCCACTGCCTATGAAGGTGCCAGAGAAACCTCTCCCCGCTTCCGAAGCCGCGGCTCTTCAGATGCAGCTGTATCACCCCAACTTTCTACATCCTCCAACTGCCCACACCCTGATGGCAACGCTGCGCACCCCCAAACCTTCAACCCTCTACACCAGTGCTTCTCAACCTGGGGGTTGTGACCCCTTGGAGGGTTAAATGACCGTCTCACAGGGGTCACCTAAGCCAGTCAGAAAACACAGGTTCACAAGAGTAACAAATTCACGACAGTAACAAAATTACAGTTGTGAAGTAGCAATGAAGTAATTTTAACAAGGGGGGGGGGCACCACAACCTGAGGAACTGTATTAAAGGGTCACAGCATTAGGAGGGTTGAGGACCACTGCTCCTCATCCTCCAACCCTCTCTGACTCCCAACCCTCTGCTCCCTCCAACCCTCTACACTCTGCCTGCAGCTTTCCACACCTCTAACACCCTCCACCCTCCAAATCGTCGACCCTTCACACCCTCTGGCCCCCAGCACACTCCCCACACCTTTCAACCTTCTAAAACTTCCAAACCTCAGTCTAAACCCCACACCCCGTGACCTTCCACACTTTCCAGCCTTCCCTCCCTCCAGTCCCAACCCCCACCACACCATACTGAACACTGTCCTGTTTCCTCTCGTCAGGCACTTCCTGTCTATTTCCCTTCTCTGAAATTCGTGCGTTCTCTCTTGGGCAGTCCTTGTTACTTAGCTTCTTTGGCTCTGTGGATTGTAATCCGGTTTTCCCGTGCTGTGTGGCTAATATCCACTTATAAGCGAGTATATACCATGTGCGTCCTTCTGGGTCTGGGTTACCTCTCTCATAAACCCCAACATTCCCTGTGTGCCGGTGACTCATCTTTGGCTGAAACTGAAAGTGTTGGGAAATGGACTGTGGACTGGGGTCAGACACCAACATGTATGCTAGGGACACAGCTCAAACCAACAGCCACCTACATTGATTTCACTCTTTCTCTCCTCTGCTTTTCTATTCTTAAGAGTATGGAGTTCTGGGGTTGGGGATTTAGCTCAGTGGTAGAGCGCTTGCCTAGCAAGCACAAGGCCCCAGGTTCTGTCCTCAGCTCTGGAAAAAAAAAAAAAAAGATGATGGAGTTGTTTACACAACTTTATACTCAAAACAAACACCAACATAAACAAACAAAGCCAGAGGAGTGTGATCTCAACCTACAAACAACTTCTCATCCAGCAGCCTCTTAATGGCTGGAAACAGATCTAAAGCCAATGCTCTGATATAGCTGACCCTGGTAGATCTTTCCGGAAACCCATACCCTTGCCATGTGCCTTCTTGTTGGCTAACAGGCTCAAAGATACCACCTCAGCAGACAGGGCTGTCTACTCTTGTTCTGTTCTGTTAAAGAGACAAGATCTCCCTGTGTAACCGGGACCAGCTTCAGGCTCACCATCTTCCTTCCACCTTCTGTGAGTGCTGGGGTGGCAGCTGTGTGCCATCCCCAGGACCTTTCCCCTCAGTCTTTGTGTTTTTTGAACCTGTTTTCTTGGTGTTGCACACTCCTTGGCTCTGCTGCGGTTCCCACAGGGTGTGGCCTGGCCACACCTGTCCCTCAGTTCTGCAGCAATGAGTGCATTCAGGCACAGAGCTTCGGGGGAGCCCTGGGGACAGAGATTACACCACCTCTAACTTTTTCATCCTTGCCTACGGGGTTGGGGGAGCCTGTGGGCTGAAGGGCAGCAGGTCCTGTGACCAGTCTTGAGTCAGTGTCTGTTTTCCTTGGCTGCAAGCCTGAGCAGAATTATCCTATTCAGGGGAAACATCCCCAGCTGTGTTGTTTTGTTCTTTCTCAAAACACAGGGAAGACTGGGCAGATGTTAAGGAAAAGCAGCCGGGACTGTGGAGAATAAAGCACAATGGTGCGTTTCCAGGAGAAAGAAGGGCCTTCGGGCATCTGAGTGTCTGAGTTGAAGCTGAGCTTGCAGCGCCGCCGCTTAGGCTGATCTTAGGTGAAGATTCTCAGGCAGCTGCATACGTGACCCAGTCCGTGCACCTCCAGGTCCAAGTGACTGTTGTGGGGGAAGGGAGAGAACCAACCTTGTACCATTGCCCCAGCCTTAGATACTGCACGGGAACAGTATCCTAACTTTTAGCTATGTGGAAAATCTAACTCAGTCAGAAACAGCAGACAGTGTGGAGAAAGTTTGTTTATTCTTTCTTGTTTTTCCCAAAGTCTGGACACACACACGATACCCTCCGTATTTATGGATAAGGAGCAAAAGCCTGACACTTGCTGACTCAGCATTACCTGGCCGTTTCAGTTTTTCAGGTTTGTACAGATGGTCCTATCTCTTAGGATCACAAACAGTCACACTTCTGGGGTGTGGTGTACACAACACCTTTTGCTGGGCTGTGGCTGAGGCCAGGCACAGAGAGCTTGCCTAGCCAGTGTGAGGCCCTGGTGCTACCCCACACTGAAAACCAGCGCAACACAGAGCCTACTGCACATGAATATGCCTCTTGAAAGCAATACTTTTCCTTTCTGTTCGTAGTGCATGTGTGAGTGCATGTATGTGAGCACATGCAGAGGCCATAGGTTGAGACCAGGTGCCTTCCAGTCTCTTGTCTTTTGAGACAAGGCCTCTCACCGAACCTAGAGCTCACAGATTAGCTAGAATGGCTGTTCTGAAAGTTCCAGGGATTGGCTTATTTCTGCTCACACTCGCGTGCTCGGGCACGTGTGTAAACGAGGTTACAGAGGTGCACAACCATGACTGCCATTTACCTGCATCCCAGGGGTTGGGACTGGGGTCCTCAACTCACTCACCAGCCGTCCCACCAGCCCCTACTACCCGTGCCATGCTTTTGGCCTGGCGTCGGAGAGCTGGTCCAGAGAGGCCCCATCCAGGAAGACGGGACCAAGCTGGTGAGCAGGAAGTAGAGAAAAACTGAAGTCTCCTTACTGTCTAATCTCTTAGAGCCTTCTGAGACACAGGGTCAGAGTCCAGGAACCCAGAACATTCGAATATTGTGGTTGTGAAACTGCAACCAATAGTTAGGAGGAGATTTATCTGTTCAACATCCATAAAACAACAGAAAAGATGGGCCCTTGCCTACATCTGGCTTGAGTGTGATTTTCAGAGAGAACTGTTTAAGAAAGCGGTACTATTTTAGAAGTTTTTAAAGACTGTCTGGCCATCGGGCCCATGCTGGCCTTGAGCCCGTGGTCCTGCCCTCTGTCTCTCAGGTGCTGGGATTTACAGGTGTGCTGTTGGTCTGTAGGATCACAACCCTGCTCTAGTGGGAGAGTTGGCTAAAGCCGCACGAACAGTTGTGTGTGTCACCACAGCAAGTGGTTCTCAGATGAGAGGCAGATGCAGATGGAAATCACCCTCTTCTCTGTTGCTTGAGCCAAAAGTAGCTGGGCTTTAACCTGCTGAGAGGGGTGGATGCTCTTTCCTAACTACCGGAAGTCAGTGGGTGATGGTTAGCGCACCGATGGTGCGAGTTTCTGTGTATGTGTGTGAGTGTGTGTGTGTGTGTGTTGAATGTGTGAGTGTGTGTGTGTGTATGTGTGTGTGTGTGTGTGTGAGTGTGTGTGTGTGTGTGTTGAGTGTGTGAGTGTGTGTGTGTGAGTGTGTGAGTGCAAGGTGGGAGCGGCAGATTGGAAGGTGTAAATTCTGGATTTGGTATAAGGATTTTGATGATTTATGACTGCTGAAAATGCCACCACAAGATGACCCAAATATTTTTTCAAGTCTGGTCTGCTGTCCCAGATACCTACTTACAGTATTCAGATACTCCCCGGAGACATCCTGGACCCTTACACATGCCCATCGGCACGCGCCCCGTAGCTTAGGCTTGAAGCAGCTCATTATCTGTCCTTCGTTGTCTGAGCCTGTAGTAATATTCTGTCTATGATGCAGTGGAAGGAGCGCTACAGTTCCCCACTCTAACAGTGTTTCTGTTCTGGTTGACTCACACTACCGTGCAGCTGCAACCGCTACCTAGCTCTCCTCACCCCAAGGTGAAGCCCTCCCCGTCCCCTGGCTCTGGACACTCCTGCCCTACTCTCTATGGCCGTGGCTAGGTGAAGTCTCACAATTACTTTTCTCCCTGCTGGGACCTTTGGACAAGGGTGGTTGTTCTGTGAAAGCGCACAGGCCCTCGTGGCCGGGGAGACGTGACAGTGGGCGCAAGAGACATCTGCTCACATTACTTCTGCGGCTGGGGAAGCCGAGAGCACAGGCAGCGGGCTGGGCTTCTGATCTCAGGTCCTGTCGCTAAGAGCCGGAAGTGAGGCCCTGCCTCCTAGCCCATCCACAACGCTCCAAAACAGCACCACTGCCCGGGGACCAAATGCTTGAACACGTGAGCCTACAGGGCTCAGTTTACATTCCAAATGCAACTTAGAGCTGCCCTTTGTGTCTGGCTTGTTTCACTTGGCATACATCCTCCGTTTCAGGGTTCATCCAAGTTACTCATGTCAGACTTGCACTCTTAGGGAGGGGGTTGAGTAATACTCACTGTGTGTCTGCACCCTCCCACCGGTGGACTGGTGTGCCACTTCCCTGGTGTGTGAAAAACGCACCCCTGAACATGAGTACACAGACACCCCTTTGTCCCTGCTTCCAGTCCTTCTGGGTATGTTGTAGTTAGGTTTCTATTGCTGTGAAGAGACACTGTGACCCAATCAACTCCTAAAGGTCAACATTTCATTGGGGCTGGCTTAGAGATTCAGTCCATTATCGTCATGTCGTGAGGCATGGCAGGATGCGGGCAGACATGGTGCTGAAGGAGTTCTACATCTGGATCTGCAGGCAGCAGGAATAGTGAGCCACTGGGCTTGGCTTGAGCTTCTGAGACCTCAAAGCCAACTTCCAGTGACAAACCACCTTCCACAAGGCCACACACCCGACAGGTGCCACTCCCTGTGAGCCTGTGAGGGCCGTTTTCATTCAAGTCACACAGGGTCTGACCCAGAAACGGAACTTCAGAGTCAATGCTGATGGTGTCTGTTGCTTTGTTGGGACGTGTTCTTCTGCTTTCTACAGCAGCTGCATCATTTAGGGATTCCACTGGTCTGTAATCTCCCCAGGCCTCTTTTTTGGGTTTGGTTTTGACGATAACCACTTTTTTCTTTTTTATATTAATCACAGGTTATTTACTTTGTATCCTAGCCATAGCCCCCTCCCTCATTCCCTCCTAATCCCACCCTCCCTCCCTCATCTCCTCCCTCCCTCCCTCATCTCCTCCCTGCCCCTTTCTAAGTCCACCGATAAGGAAGGACCTCCTCCCCTTCCATCTGACCCTAGGGTCTTATCAGGTCTCTTCAGGACTGGCTGCAATGTCCTCCTCTGTGGCCTAGCAAGGCTGCTCCTCCCTCGGGGGGGTGGGGGGTGTCAAAGAGCTCGCCATTGAGTTCATGTCAAAAATAATCCCTGTTCCCCTTACTAGAGAACCCACTTGGATACTGAGCTACCATGGGCTATATCCAGGCAGGGGTTCTAGGTTATATCCATACATGGTCCTTGGTTGGAGAAACAGTCTCATGAAAGACCCCTGTGCCCTGATACATTTGGTCCTTGTGGAGTTCCTGTCCTCTCCAGGTCTTACTAACTCCCCCTTCTTTTATATGATTCCCTGCACTCTGCCGAAGGTTTGGTTATGAGTCTTAATATCTGCTTTGATACACTGCTAGGCAGAGTCTTTCAGAGGCCCTCTGTGATAGTCTCCTGTCCTGTGACTTGTTTTCTCCTACATCCAATGTCCATCCCATTTGTCTTTCTAAGTGAGGATTGATTATCTTACCCTGGGTCCTCTTTCTTGTTTATCTTCTTTAAGTGTATAGATTTCAGTATATTTATCCTATCTTATAGG